ATAATAGAAAATGCTACTAGTTGAGTCTTTTTAAAAAATTAATTTATTTTGAATTATCAACAATCACTTCCATAAGCTTTTTGAGTTTTACATTTTTCTCCCCCTCCTTCCTCACCTCCCTCTCCAAGATGGCACCGCAATCTGATATAGGCTATACATATACATTCCTATTAAACATATTTTCACATTACATGTTAGTTCTAAACACCGTGCATGCCTCTCTTAATTTAGCCTAATGTCACACTAGTTTTCTTGCTTATGAGATCACAATGTTGACTTATTAACATGGGAATACATGAAATGATCAAAAATGAAATAAACAGAACCAGGAAAATAACATACAACTACAACAATGTAAATGGAAAGAATGGTAATGACATAATCAGTACTGAATGTTATGAAAACTATAATGACCAAAGAATGTTTCCAAAAAGGAGAAATGAGAATCCGTCATATTGCAGAAATGATGGACTATTGGTATGGAACCCAGCATATAGTGTCAGACCTGGACAAAACACTGGTTAGCTTTGCTGAACTGTCTTCCCCTCTATATTCATTGTTACAGAAGATGGCTCTCTGGGTAGGGTCAGGAGAATATATTGCCAGATATAGGGGATTTAAAAGTAAAAGATATTTATACAGTTTCCTGATACATACAATAGGGATGATATTTATATAAATTTAAAAAATAATTAAATCCATATGAACTGATGAGGTCACCAAGAAAGAAAATACAGAGGAAGAAGAAAAGGCCCTGAATGGCTTCCACCCTCACATATCAATACAATATTTTGGCTAATCTTTTCTTTTGTTTGTTTGTTTTATGACTTTGTATCCCAATTGTCTAGCACGATGTCTGGTATACAATAGACAGCTGACATATGCTGGCAGAACTGAATGAATGAAAAAGCATCTATTAAGGGCTTACTATGTTCCAGCAATCATGCTGAGCCCTAGCGATACTAATACAAGCCAGGAACACCAGCCTAACCCTTAAGGAGCTTATATTCTAGTGGGGGAAGATAACATATGAAGAGCAGCCAGCATGGGGCAAGGAATGGAGGGCTAGGCTTGAAGTCAGGAAGATCTGAATTCAAATTCTGCCTCAGTTACTTACTTAGTTGTATGGCCCTGGGCAAACTATTTAACTTCTCAGCCTTAATTTCCTTATTTGTAAAATGGGAATAATAACAGCATCTACCTCATTGAGTAGTGAGGACTGAATATATTCTAACCAGTTAGGTGGCATAATGGATCAAGTCAGGAAGACTTCAGTTCAAATCCAGTCCTCCAATAGTTACTAGGTGTGTGACCCTGAGCAAGTCACTTAACCACTGTCTGCCTCAGTTTCCTGATATGTAAAATAGGGATAATAATAGCATTTCTCCTTCGGAGTTGTAGTGAGGATAAAAATGAGATATTTATAAAGCACTTTGAAATCTTTAAAGCATTTTATAAATACTAGATATTATTGTTGCCATTGTTATTATTAAAATGCTTTGCAAACCTTAAAGTACTGTATAAATACTAGCTATTAGTACATGGTAGCATGGTTTGGAAATGTCTGGAAAGTGATACTGAGGCCTAGTTCTGGGGGAGATAAAGTCAAAGCTCACCTATCCAAGCCCAGCGTCCCAGGGGCAGCGTCCAGGTTCTGGTAGGAAAGATGGCAGGAGGGCAGGTGGCTTGGTTTGGAAATAGCTGGGAAGTGAATTTGTTGAATTGAGGAAGACAGGAACTATGAGGAAGCCCGACAACAGAGCTCACAATTGTCCTGGGCCTGGGCAGAGGGAGGGGTGAGCAGTCAGTGCTGAGCAGCAGCGTCCAGAGCTCAGCCATGGAGAAAAGAGAAGTGCCTGAACCGCGGACAGCCCTGGTGAGATGGGAAGCAGGGAGCCGGGAAGGCTGTAAGCCTTGCAAACCCTAATTAAGCCAGCTAATTTGGTGCAAAGGAGTGGAAGGTAATAAGCTTAGTTAATTGAGTGGATCATTCGAAATGGACACCATTCAGGCCCCAAGGTGGTAGCTCACGGGGAGAGTCAGGTGGCCTGTGAACATAAGCTTCCTAGGGGCTCTAGGCCGCAAGATGGACAGCCAAAGGAGTCTGGGGACATGGAATGAAGGTGTGAAAAAATACACGGATCCCTAAGTGGGAGACTTCTCAAAGCTGCTGATGTGTCCCCACCCCCAAAGAAGAGGCTCTTTGGGGAGAAAACAAATCTCTCTTCTCTGCAGAGGTTGGAGTATATGGGTATAGAGTATGGCATATTCTGTCAGACTCAGTCAATATGTTGGTTAAGTTTTGCTAAACTGCTCACCCCCTCACCTTCTCTCCTTTATTTTTTTGCTACAAGGAGTGGCTCAGTAGGTAAGGGGAGACAGTGACTACCGGTGTGGAAAAATCACTTAATGTTGCTGAGCCAAAGTTTTCTCTTCTTTCGAATGAGGATGATAAACTAGTTGGTAATAATAAAAATAATAAAAATAGTTTTTGTGGTTCAGTTGTTTTTCAGTCATGTCCAACTCTTCATGACACCATTTGGGGTTTTCCTGAAAGATCCTGGGGTGATTTGCCATTTTCTTCTCCAGCTTGTTTTACAGATGAGGAAACTGAGGCAAACAGGTTTAAATGACTTGCCTAGAATCACACAGCTAGTAAGTGTCTGAGGCCAGATTTGAACTCAGGAAGTTGAGTCTTCCTGACACCAGGCCAGGTACTCTGTGCACTATGATGCCACCTAGCTGATCCTTAGATACCTTACAGGTCACCCAATCCCATCCATACTTGACCAAGAACTTCGTTTACAACTTTGATGGGAACACACTGTTTTAGCAAAGCAGACAAAAATATACACTGCTCCCCCCAAATAGTTACACAAAATAGCACAAATGAGTGCTTGCCACTAGTTTGTATAACTACATACTTCTATAATTTCCAACCTCTATATAGCCACATCTAGGGATATAGGATGCATGACCTGTCAAGGAAGCCCCTTCCAATCACTGGGAAATCTGGTCTTGTATCAAGCCTAAATCTGCCTCTGCAACATTCACCCACTGCTTCTAGACGTACTCTCTGGGCCCATGCAAAACAAAATCCTAGTCCCCTTTCCAAACATGACAGTTATCATGCTTCCCCTTAGGCACAAACACTCCCACCCCCAAGATTTCTCTTCTTTAGGTGTGATCGTCCTAGTTCCTTTAATTCTCTCTTTAGAATCTCCAGGCTTCTCACCATCTTGGCCAACCTTTTCTGAACGCTCTTCAGATAGTCAATGCCTTCTCTAAAGTGGGGTATTGAGCGCTAAACACAGAATTCTACTCATGGTCTGACTAGGGCAGGGCGCAGTGGGATTGGCACCAGTTTAGTTCTAGACACTATTCATGCCTCTCTTAATTCTGCCTAATATCACACTTGCTTTTTTGCCTGTGAGATCGCGTTGTTGAATATCAAGCTTTCAGTGCACTAAATCCCTCTACGCCCCCCACCAAACCCTCCATGCCTCTCACTGTGTCTTTTGCTAATCACACCTGCTCTAGCTTGTATGTGTGAAGTTGGTTTTGGAACCAAAGTGTAAGACTTTACAGTTAATGCTTTTCTATTTCTTGCTATCAGATCCAACTCAATGGTCTAGCTTACTGTTTTTGGATTCTGACTTCATCAATCAATATGTTAGCTCTACTTCCCAGCTTGTGTCATCCCCAGATTTGCTATCCTCTCTCCCATCTATGCCTTTATTCAAGTCACTGATGAAAATGTTAATCATACCTGATCCCTGGGACATCCCACCCAAAACTGGTTTCCAACTAGAAGAAACACAGGGTTAGGAGTAGGATCCAAGCAGTTTTGTATCCACCTAACTATGCACAAGAATAGCATGAGAGACTTTTTCAAATGCTTCCCCAAGATCAAGGTAAACAATATCTATAGCATTTCTCCATCCAGCAGTCTAGTAACCCTGTGAAAGGGAGAAACGAGGTTAGTCTGGCATGACCTATTCTTGATGAAAGCATGTAGACTCTTTGTCATCATTGCTGCCATCTCTTTAAAAGCATGTCCTGAAATTTTGCCAGGAATCCAAGTCAAGCTCACAGAACTATATGAAGTGACTCAAAGCAAGATCAACAGAATCTGAAATACATACATATTTACTACAGGTCTATAGACATGGCACTTTTTGTTGAAGCTTCCCACTGGGCAAGGGCAACTATTTTCTCCCCTGTATTTTCTGTCTCTTCAGACAACAAAGAGGACTCTGCAGGACTGTGGAGCTATGCAGGCACACAATTGGCTATGATAAAGGACAACTGTTAGGGTTGTAATAGGTCTCAAGTTCCAGTAGTACTTTTATTTTATTTTTGATATCTTGGTTTTGATAGCTTAAAAATTCAATTTTATTTTATTTCCAGGTTTAAATTCTCTCCTTCCCACATCCTCTCTCCACTGTCCATATTGAGAAAGCAAGAAAAACAAAAGCTATTACAAAATGTATAGTCAAATGAAACAAAATTCTTACATTGGCTATGCTATGTCAAGAAAGAAAGGAAGAAAGAAAGAAAGAAAGAAAGAAAGAAAGAAAGGAAGAAAGAAAGAAAGAAAGAAAGAAAGGAAGGAAGGAAGGAAGGAGGAAGGAAGGAAAGGAGGGAGGGAGGAAGGAAAGGAGGGAGGAAGGGAAGAAGGAAGGAAGGAAAGGAGGGAAAGAAGGAAGAAGGAAGGAAAGGAGGGAGGGAGAGAGGAAGAAAAGAAGGAAAGAAGGAAGAAAACACATGCCTCAGTTTGCACTCTGAGTTCATCACCTCTGTCTGGAGGGAGGTGGAATGTTTTATCATGATTCCTCTGCAATTGTCTCCAGCAGTAGTATTAAGAGTACTCTTAGTAGACTCTCCCTCTTGAGTTTGAGCTAGCATCATGTGCTCAGCAGATGGTCACTCCTTTGGCTAGACAAGCAGTTGCATTCAGAGAAGACATTAAGAGGGGATATGACCTTGGATTCACCTACCTATCAGTCAGGAGTTCAAAAATACCATTGGCATGGCAGCTGCCTGCTGTGGGAGCTGGTGATGGTGAGGCAGTTTTCTCTCCAGCCTTGTGATTCTGGGACCAAGCAAGGCTTAGTAAAAAGGGCTTTCTTTGAATGTATCTGTAAAAGCAGACAGCAAAACCAAAGATAAGGTGGGAGGATTTGAAAATTCAGACCTTATCAGGAGTGACAGAGTGCTGCTGCTCCAGGATGTTTTAAAAAATGGTAATTGTTTTGTACTTTTGAGTCCAAATCAAGAAATGTAATTTAATTTAAAGGTCAACCAAGTGAATTCAATCTTTGGGGTCACACCAGAGGTAGGGGAAAAATTCACTGGGGAATTGAGTTGGAATAAGGACACAATGAGCCAAATGAGTTATGAATTATTTTGGGAGTATTTTTACCCCTAGACATTAATCCAGAGTTGCAACTAAGAAGATAGTGAGGCCAGAGATAGTTGGGAGTTTGCATATGTACCCTGACTGGGCTAGTAGCTTAGAACTTTGGATGCTTAATGATTCTCTTTGGGCACGTGCAAAGCAGCAGATTCAGTAGTGTATCTCATCTCTCTGGGAATCAGCAGGAACTTGAGGTTTTCTATAGGGAAACTGAATCATTGAGTCATTGGGGGCAGGGATGCCTCAGGGCAGAGAAAGAGTCTCATGAGAGGTCAAGGGGATAGAGTAAGATTTTGCGTGCAGGCCCACAATTTGCCCTCTCATTTTTGTCCTTCTGGCAAGACTAGTGACCTGTCCATTCCATGAGGCAAGGAGGAGAGGAGAGATGCAGAGCTTCTGGTAGGCTAAATGACTACCAGTATCTGTTTTCTGCTACTGCTGCTGAGGCTCTGTAACCCAAGCTAGGTAGAATTCAGGAAGACAGATCCTGGAAAACCATGGTAGAGGCAAGCATGAAGATGGATGTGAGACCACGGTGTTAGCATTGCAAGTCTGACTACTGATTGAGGGAAGCGACGGACTGGGACTGGCCTGGTAGTTGCTAGAATAAGCCTGGGAGATCTCTTGTTTCTTTGTGGTTAGCAAAACCAATCCTGGTAAGTTCCAAATAAGCAACACTTTCTCCTAATCTTTTTCTTGACCTTCGGTTCAAATTCAGGAGAAGAGAAGAGGGGACAACCGGACAAAACACTCCACAAGAGGGGAACACAACATTTTCTTTGTAATTTAATTTTATTGTGTTGTAGTAAACAAAATGAACCCTGAAAAATCAGTTGCATTAATTCTAGAAACCAAAGAAATTTCCCATGTTTTGGGGCTGGGGGCTGTGGGTTGTCCCACTTTTTAACATTTGGAACCTTATTTCATTTTCATACTGTTAAATCTTTGCTCTTTGAAGAGCTTGGCAAACTCTGGGTCTTGGGAGGATGACGTGAGCTAAGGCTTTGTAGGCTAAGTGCCCCCTGGTGGATGGTGGGGATAGTGCAGCCTCTGTAAAGGCTAGTGCAGGAGCCCCGGGATAACACCATGAGGAAACCAATTGGTTGGTGGCTTGAATATAGCACCACCTGCTGGTCATATTGCATATTACATTCCATTGTACTTTATTAAGTGTAAGCTTTGCTTTTCTGTAACAAGCTTGAAGAAAACAAGGCAAGAGTCAGGGTAGGTTGTTAGTGCTACTTCAACAAATGCAGTGATACCCTGGATGCTTGGCCTGCACCACTATCACATCCATTTGCTTTAGATTTGGTTGCTGTAGCTTGGATTTCCACCTAGTGGCTTATCTGGGATGTATCACTCTGAGTGGCTGCTCTGATCACACATCCCAGGGCCATGAGCCCTGCTCCTGTTCTGGGAAGTGGGGAGGCATACCATAGATGAAAGGAAAAAAGAAAAGACCTCAGTACAGGCAGTCTTAGAAAAAGGATACAGAGCTAACATATTTTTGGTTTGCTTCTTTCTTGTTAATTTATTTCATTCTACTTTGTTGAAAATGCTAAGAGGTTGTATAAGATGTTATTCCTTATTTTGTTATGTTTATTTGCTTAGTTTTATTAGTTAATGCTTATTCAATTTAAAATTAAAAGTTTTTTTTTAATCCATCTCATTGCATTTAGGCCATTGTTGTTATATATTGTGAATCTTTTCGATATTCCAAACCCTGCAAGGTAAGTAGGTCAGAAATTGTAAACCTCATCTTACAGTAGAAAGTGAGGGAGGTTAGGTGACTACTTGAAGATCATAGTTAGTGGCAGGGCTAAGAGTAGAACCCAGTCTACTGACATTCTGCTCTCCCCATTAGACTGTCCTAACTACGCATCATTGTACTGGGACCAATATTGCAGATGCAAATGTATCAGGGAAACAGAAGGCCGACCTGCCTTCTTCTAGCTGACCACATGCAGACTCAGCACTTAGGCATTTTGGAGATGGCAAAGCCATGGCTGTTTCTTACTGGCCATGTATTACTCAGTGTTGAAGGACTTGGGTATTATGGGGAGGATGGAGCAATCCCCTTATTGGCCACTGAGCAGGAGAAGCTGTTGACTTATTGAACCTTTGAAAGGGAATGAATGACCTACCCTTAGTATCTCTCTCTTCTTCCTGGCAGTAGAGCATATTGATTTATTCAAATCTGTCACTGGAGGTGGAGGAGGGAGGAAGAAGGTGGCTGCCCTTTCCCCTACCCCAACAGAAAGACCCTCAGGTCCTCAAATGGGTGAGCTGAGCCTAGGCCTAAGCTTTAGTTAGAGCTTTCCCTTCTTGAGTATAAATGGTAAAAGAGCAATCTTGAGATGGATACCTTCAATCTGGGAGGTAACCTTGTGAATTCACAAGGATAGAGATCTTGGGTCCCTTGGTCTATTAGTATCTGACTAGAGGCAAGGAGAGTTGTAGTGTTGGGGAGGACACCACTAACAGTAGATTCAGCTTGATTCTCAGTCATGGCTTGCCAGAAGACATTTCCCTGGATAAAATTATTTGGAAGAGGTGAAATTTTAAAAGCCTATTGCGCATCCTTGCAAATTGCTTAATGTTCTGATGTTTAAGTCTCTAACCACTGGCAGAGAATAACAGTAGTTACGTTAAGTCATTGTACTCTGCCTTAAGCCTTTCTGTTAATGGATACTTGTGAGAACCTTTAGTGTTAAGCATTTCTTTTGTGTATGGGAAATAAACACCTTCCATATACCTGATTTATATTATGGATTGAATATCTTCCTACTCTAATTTTTGGGAAAAATTTGGCATAAGCCAAACCTAACCTTTAAGTCATTGTATCCAGGGTGCTGAGTCTGACCTTTCTTTAAGTGGTCAGGCTTGTCCAAGATCAAATCTAGTTCAGATGACATGCCTGGGTCCAGAGCAGATAGACCCTTTAGTGCAGAGAGAGGACCCCTTGAATCCAGCAGTACTTTTTAGACAAGATACTATTTACAATGTGAGGAATCTCAAGTGTGCATTTGAGCAAATTATAGATGTACAGTTGAGTTGGACCGTATAACTATATGGTCCAACTCAAGTCAATACACATTTACTAATTTATGCAAGGCCTGTTGCTAGACTCTGGGGATACAAGGACAGAAAATGAGACAGACCTCTGCACCCAAAGATCTTACATTCTATTGGGGAGACAATACATACACAGATAAGTAAAAGCAAAATTATTTGAGGAGAGAAGGAACACTGAAAGGTGGAGAGATTTGGCTTAGTTGCTGACACACAAGCTGACCCTTGAAGGGAGGTAAAGAATAAGGGAGGCAGAGATGAGGAGGAAGTGAATCTTAGGCATGAGGGACGGTGTGTGCGAATTTACAAAGGCAGCAGAAGGAATGCAGAGTTCAGCAAATAGTTTACTTTGGCTGGAACAAAGAGTTCATGAAGGGGAACAGTGTGAAATGAGACTGAAAAGGTAGGGTTAGGACCAAATTATGAAGGCCCCTAGAAGGCAGTCTGGGCACTTTTTTTTGTGATGGAATATCACTACACTGTAAGAAACTCTGAATATGCAGGATTCAGAGGAATTTAGGAAGACATATGAACAGATACAAAGAGAAATAAGCAGAACTTAGAAAACTATATATATATATATATATACAATGACCACAATGATAAAACAACAATATATATGGGTACAGTAATAAAAGTGGAAATAACAACAAAAGATACTGAATGTCCTGTAGTTTTAATGATTGAGAAGCTTGGAGAAGAATTGAGAAAATGCATCTCCTTCCCTTCCTTGGAGAAGTGGGAAACTATGGGCATGCAATATTTCACAAAGAAAGTAAATAAGCATTTATTAGTTACCTACTTTCTATGTGCCAGGCACTGTGTTAAGCACTTTACAAGTATTATCTTATTTGATCTGCATGATAACTCTGATGTAGGTGCTATTATTATCCCCATTTTATGGTTGAGAAAAGGGAGGCAAATAGAGGTTAAGTGACTGACCCAGGATCGCACAACTATGTAGTGCCTGAGGTCAAATTTGAACTCAGGTCTTCCTGACTCCAGGTCCAGAGCTTTAACTACTGGGACACTTAACTGCCTCTATTAAATACTTACACTGTTTAGATTCGTTTGATGTTTTGCTCAGTTTTGTTGAGCTACTTTTGTTCTCTCTCTCTCTCTCTCTCTCTCTCTCTCTCTCTCTCTCTCTCTAAGTTTTTGTTATAAGGGATGGCTCGGGGGCAGCTAGGTGGCACAGTGGATAGAGCACTGGCCCTGGATTCAGGAGGACCTGAGTTCAAATTCAGCCTCAGACACATAACACTTACTAACTGTGTGACCCTGGGCAAGTCACTTAACCCCATTGCCTAACCAAAAAAAAAACACCAAACTGAAAACAATAAGGGATGGCTCACTGGAGATGGAGGCAGGGAGAAATATATTCAGAAATGAAAGTGATATAAAAACAAACAAAAAGATGTCCATTTAATTTTGAAAATTAAGGCTGGATAGTTTTTACTTATCTTAAAGGTGATAGGGAGCCACTGAGGTTTTTTGAGCATGGCATGATCAAACCTATAACTTTTTAAGATTGTTTTGGCTGCCATGTGGGGAAGATAGATCAGACAGGGAAGAGACTGGAGGCAGGGAGGCCAGTTAGGAAGAGGTGTCCAGGGTAAAGAGCTTGAATTAAGGTGGTAGTTGCCCTCA